AGGCCACGGTGCTTGAACACGTGGCCTGACGATTGCATATAGCATGAAACAGACTGTCGCCTCTAAGTGTTGACTTTATGTTCACTTTTATATTTACACACGCTCTATCTCTGATGTTGAGCACTTTATCCCATAAATATAGCACATCTTAAGACTATATTTTTCATATATATATATATATATATATATATATATATATATATATATATATATATATATATATATATATATATATATATACATATATGTATGTATGTATGTCTATAAATATATATGTTAAATATAAAAGTCTATCAATATATTCCATCGCTTAATGGACTACGCCATATACTGATTGACTAACATATTTGTGTGTATGTGAATATGAGAGTATTTGTTATAAGACTGCGTGCATTTATGCACTTGAAAATTACACATATACAGAAATTTACCTTTGTTGGTTTTAAAGGCATATACGTGTTTATGAATATATTTTTTACGGACATATAAGTATTGTGTTAGCAGATGAGTCAGCATGTTTTATAGCAAATGTATGTTTTAATACGTGTATATGAAGGACTGACAGCGCGTGCGTAACTGCATGTGTCTGTTTCTATCTGTATGGATGCTGATGTCGATATAAGTTAAATTTGAGTTTTTAGTTTTATGAAAAAGGTGTTTCTTGGAGGCAGGGAAGCAAGGTGCAAAATAAAATAAAACAATATATCAGTTTCAAGTTATGAAAGATTAATGAAAAAATAGACAGAAAAGAATGAGCTGAAAGAAAAAAAGAAAAAGAAAAAAAGAATGAAAGAAAGAATGAAAGAAAGAAAAGGGAAAGAAAGAAAACAATTATTACTGTAATTCTCCATGTTCAATACGCATTTTTTTCTAAAAAAAAATAATAAGCAAAATTCGGGGTACGTATTATGCATAGCTACAAAAAAATCTTTAAAAATATTGCCGTTTCATGGGTCGATTTCAGTTGCGAAATGACTACTCACCTCAAACCTACGACAAATAAACATAGGACAATTTGACACTAACATTCGTCGATTGCGACCCCATAAGGATGTCAAATACAATCATATGTACCTAACAATATTTACAAATATAAAATAAAATAAGAATTATAATAAAACTAAATTAGAATAATATTATTCCATATTTAATCCCTTTTTTAATAAGAGTAGGAAACTGGCCGTAATGAAATTGGAGAAGTACAATTTATAGGGTTTGATTACCAAACAAGGGGTGCATATTATGCGTGAGTAAAAGCATTTTCCCACACTTTCAGCACAATTTTAGGACTACGTATTATGGATGAAGGCGTATTATACATGGAGAATTACGGTACAAGGAAAAATTCAAATATTAAGAAGAAAGATAGAAACCATCAGTAGTCATAAATTAGAATTTCTAGCAACATGCTGACGCGGGTTGAAATCCTCACAGTATTTAAAGTTATCGCTAAAATTTTCAAAAAAAAAACTTTTTTTTAAATTTCGTTCAATTATTCAAATCAATCGATGAAATTAGAATAAGCTGATTTATTTGGAAAAATACTTTGACAAAAAAGCCTATTTCGCGTTTTAATAATTTCTTTAATTTAATTTAATTTTATAGAGCTTCATATTAAACATTTTTAAAAAAATTTCCTTTCTTTTTAACAACGAAGAATAAATTCCTAAGATTTCTTACTCATACAACATGCAACTGGCCATGTGTCGATATTTCTTTGTGGAGCCAAATTCCAACATTTTGAAGCGTTTAGCATTGAGATTTGTTTGTAGTTCTCACAAATTCAGCGAAAACTGGATTCTTGTATATATAAATACTCAAAGACAATACATGAAAAAACAATATTGCATTTCTATTAAATAAGTATTTGTTATTTTAATCATTATTTTAAAAAAAAGAAATGGGAGTATTATGTATGTTAAATAAAAAAGATTTTAATTTTTCAAAAAAAATTCATGAAAATTTATTGTACTAAGCTTTGCATCCTATTAAAACCAACTTTACTTGTACCCACTTAGCTGTTAGTACTTCTCCCCCAAATTTGGTTTTGATTGGTCAATGTATGACTATTTTAAAGGATGTGACGGATGGACATACGGATGGACGGTCTAATGGAGAATAAGCTGAGATCCGTAGACGTATTGGGATGGCTAAGGACACATTCCAAAAGCTGGACAGAGTATTGCGAGAGAGGAGGAGATTTTTGGTAACAAAGAAAAGCTGTTACGTGACATCTGTTTTCCTTTACGGCATCGAATGCTGGACGGTTTCCTCAAAGATGAAGGAGAGATTCGCGGCGACGGAGATGTGGTTCTACAGAAGGATGCTGAGGATATCATGGACGGAGCGTGTGAGCAACAATGAGATTTTGGATATGATGCAACAAGGCATATACTTAATACCAGGAAGAGGCAGATGAAGGTTCTGGGACACGTAATGAAAAAGTGGGGCCTGGAGACTCTCATACACACTGGTCGAATAGATGAAAAGAGAGACAAGGGAAGGCAATGCATGACATATCTGGCGGGCTTAAACAAGTGGATGTCAGAACGTGGTCTGAAATGGCATGGCGCATAAGAAGAAGAAAAAAGAGAGATTAAAACTAGATAAGAAAAATGCAGATATTATAAAATGTCGACAGGAATATTTTACGAAAAAATAAATTATTTTTCAAAGAAAGAAAGAAAGAAAGTGCAGAAAAAGAAACAAAGAAAGAGCACAAACAGAAAAGAAAATATAAAAAGAGAACAGAAGAAGAATCATTCAAAAAATTATAAATGTTAGAATTTAAAGAAAGTAAAAGAACCAATAAAAAGGTAAAAAATAAAGATTATAGAAGGAAAAGTTAAAAATGAAGATTATAGAAAAAGGTAAAAAGTGAAGATTATAGAAAAAGGTAAAAAAATGAAGCTTATAGAAAAAGAAAAGAAGGTAAAAAATAAAGATTATAGAAAAGAAGGTAAAAATGAAGATTATAGCAAAAAGTTAAAAAATGAATGTTATAGAAAAGGTAAAAAAATGAGGCTTATAGAAAAAGAAGGTAAAAATGAAGATTATAGAAAAAGGTAAAAAAAAATGATACTTATAGAAAAAGAAAAGAAGGTAAAAAATAAAGATTATAGAAAGAAAAGAAGGTAAAAAAATGAAAATTATAGTAAAAAGTTAAAAAATGAACATTATAGAAAAAGGTAAAAAAAATGATACATATAGAAAAAGAAAAGAAGGTAAAAAAATGATGATTATAGAAAGAAAATAAAGTAAAAATGAAGATTATAGTAAAAAGTTAAAAAATGAAGAGTATAGAAAAAGGTAAAAAAATGAAGCTTATAGAAAAGGAAAATAAAATAAAAAATGAATATTATAGAAAAGAAAAGAAGATAAAAAATGAAGATTATAGTAAAAAGGTAAAAATGAAGCTTATAGAAAAAGAAAAGAAGGTAAAAAATGAAGATTATAGAAAAGAAAAGAAAATAAATATTTTAAGAAAAAATCCTCTTTAAAAGAATATCGATAAAAATATTGACAAGAAAAACGAAATAAACAAACAAATAAAAAAATGAAAAGATGAAGAAAGAACTGAAGGAAGATTGATAAAACAACTTACGAGAATGAATACTGATTTATTTTTTATGGCTTATCAACCCTTTACAGGTTATTTAAAGCCAGAAAATATTTTTAATTTATAAGAATTTTTTAGATAATGATTTTGTGATACAAGTCTCACTAATTAACCCATAGGTGGAGAGAAGCGGTGGATGCATACGATGGTATTTACACATAAATGAATATAACAAGCCCAACTGGAATTGGAACACGGCTCTCCGATTAAGAACCATTATCCATTACGCCACACGCCCATCCAAGCTTACGGCACCTGGCGTTCCCAAGTGACACCCAGCTAAATACTGACCAGGGTCGGCGTTGCTTAACTTCGGTGATCGTACGGGAGTACCGTACGTGATGAGGCCGTGAGACATGAGAAAGAATAGAAGGGAGATAATTTGGTAAACGTTCGTATGTGCAATTAGATAGAACGGCGGACGTCAGGACAACATTGTAACCCTTTCGCCTTTTATTCTGCCCCGTGCAACCCCTGTTTTACTGACCGATCGCTATCAATATGTCTGCGTGAAGCAAGCATAAAAGGAAATTCTGGTTGTCGTAATATAGTGGCGGACGTCACGCCCGGTCAACTAGCCGAGTTATGGCGTCCATTGAAAAGCAGCAAAAATCTAGGAAAACAAATATATAAAATCTCTTCGTAATTCTAGCTTGATCCTCTCATTGTCTCTTTCTTTGTTTCTATTTCCAAAGTCTCTTTTGTTTTCTCCCACACCCTTCTTATTTCTTTCTCTTGTCTCTCCTTTTATCATTGTTTTTATCTTCCCCCGCTCTCCCTCTCTCTCTTTCTTTCTATTTCTTTATCTTATTCTCTTGACCTCTCTTTTATTGCCCTTTTCGTTTTTCGTCTTTCTTTCTTCATTAATACCTTACCAAATCTTTCTCTTTTTCTCGCTATTTCTCTCGCGTTTCTTTTTTGTCTTCTTTATCATTTCTCTTTTTTTCTCTCATTCACTTGCTCTTTATTTCTGTTTCTCTTTTTTTCTTTTATTGATCACTTATATATACAATACTTTATCCTCTCTCTCTCTCTCTCTCTCTCTCTCTCTCTCTCTCTCTTTATCTCATTTCTCTTTCTGTTTTCTTTCTACTTCGTTTATCTTTTTCTCTCACTCTCTCACACACGCTCACTTATTCTATTTCTCTTTTATTAGCTTTGTTCTTTTTCACCCTTCTTTTTCTGCCAGACATATCTCTCTTTCTCTATCCCTCTCCCACTCTATCTCTACCTCTCTTTCTTATGATCTAATATCTTCTTTCTCGCTTTTGATTTTTGTACGAATAATAGGCACACCTCTCTCTTTGTTCCTCACTCTCTTTCTTTTTTGGTAATTCATATATTCTTCCGTGTTGTAATATTAAAATAAATAGATACGTGCATGTCATATTGGCTCTTGTTCTGCAATCACCTCCTCTCACTTACCTCACACTCCCTCTTTACACGTACTTACTCTCTCTATCTTCACTTATTCTGCTTCTCTCCTTACACTTTCTATTCTTTCTATTTTTCATTCACTGAGTCTTTCTTTTCATTCCCTCTCTTTCTCCTTCATTTTTCCTTCATTCTCCACTCTCTCTCTCTCTCTCTCTCTCTCTATTTATCTTTCTTTCTCTTTCTTCATCCACTTCTTCACTTTTGTAAATCTTAGCTTTTTATCACATCTCAAAACTATTAAACACTCTCTCTTTAACCATGTATCTCTCATTCTAGCTATCTTCCTCTATTCTCCCCCACTCTCAATCTGTTTTCTCTTTCTCTCACTTCTTCTTTCTCGCACCCAATCACACAAATTAGGAATGTTGCATTTGGAGGAAAATCGTAATCACTTACGCACGTACAGTAAGGCAATTGTTTGTTTGTTTGTTTTTATTTGTAATATATGTAATATTTTGTCTCTTTTCAACTAACAATTAATATATATATGTGTGTGTGTGTGTGTGTGTGTGTGTGTGTGTGTGTGTGTGTACGCTTTTTATAGAGTATGGCGTACTTCCCGCTCTTCCCTACTACTGTAACAATGGACTGCTCCTACTTATAAATATGGCAAGTAGCCCTGGGATGTGAGGAGTGGTTGATTTACTCATGTTCTTCCATTCTATATATGAGTATTTAATAAACCTCTTCTTCTTTGTTTTCTCTACTTAGTCTTCTGTTCCTTCGATACACTCTCTAACTATGGCCTTCCTAATTCTCGACAATTTTGAACAAAGACATTACAACAACACTGACATAAAAAAACATTCATGGAATAATTGCATGTAAAGTTAAGAATGGCTTCAGCGTTCTTAAGTTTCTATGGTATAAGTTTACAGAAGACTCCCCATAATGTCTGTGTTAAGACCACAACACCGGAAAAGCGCCTCACCAGGGATTGTGACATCACTAATTCAAGCTTGGTGGACGGGCAACGATTGATTAATTTGTTTTCTACCGCTTTCAGGTTATTTAAAGCCAGAAAATATTTTAGGTGGTACGAATTTTTGAGTGGGGTGATAATAAGGATTTAGCGTTGTAAGTCTTATTAATTAACCCATAGATGTGGGCAAGGATTCTTTCCTTTCCCAAGGCTATTTGAGCGTAAGTGAATATAACGAACAAAATGGAATTGAAACTCGACTCTCCAATTAACAATTTTGACCCATTATCCATTACACTATCTGCACATCCAAGTTTACAGCACCTGTTATTCGCAAGCGGTCACTCATCTATCTACAGACTAGGCTCGACGTTGCTTAACTTTGGCGATCGTACGGGAACTGGTGTTTCAACGTGATATGACTGTAAGCGACAGGCAACATGTGGTGTGGTATGGTTCATCGAGCCACCTGTCTTATTGTTTCGGTTCGAGTATGGAGCCGAGACTCCCTAAGGCAATGGGCCACAATTGTCAAAAAGCACAGTTGTCAACAAACCACGAGCTGTGGACAGAGGGGTGGCCATGCAGTGTGTTCCCATGCAACTGAAATATGTCCGCTCATTGGCCTAAACATGTCATTGTCTGGTGAACTCTACGTTGCACTGCTTCGTGACTATCTGCCCCGTCAAAACACCCAAATTGGAGGGTTATCCCAGAAGGATATGGAACCAAGTTGCCCAGAATTGGTTTGAGTACCTTTCTGGTTGGTGACTTCTGAAGGATAATGTGACCACCACCTTCGCCCGCCATTTATGCTTCATGATGGAGAGGTTGTATTTATTTGGACGTGGTGAAGAGGTTGATTCGCCGACAAAGTCATACACCTATAAGTACTTGGACGTTGTGGACAGCTATCGAGAGAGCATGGCCCAACCTCTCTCCAGAGATTTTTCCATCACTTGTGAAATTGACACAACGTCGATTTCCTGCGTTTACCAGCCTATCATAGATCATACAGGAGATTAGGCACCTTCTCAATGACGTCAGTGTATTTAAACACCCACACATGAAAACATTTTAATAACAGTAAGGAAAATAATTCCATTTTTTACGCTTTATACATATTATTATGTGTGTATGTGTTTAAGGAAGGATGCTTCATTTAGGAAGATTATGGGATGGGAGGTACGGTGGAGAGCGGCACGATTTGTGGAATAGGAGTGGCCAAATTCGAATTCCAGTCAAATTCATTACTTTCCTTGGTAAATGTATAAATCCTCTTTATTTCCCTCCAGCTATGGGTAAATATCAGAACAGACCTGGTTCTATAGCCTTGGATAACTACAGAAAGAAATGGCAACCTTCTGCGGAAAAAATCTGCCTCGTCAGTTATGTATCGAAAGATACATGATCGCCTAAGCGTGTATCACGCATGGTACATAACTGAACTAATGGGATGTTAATCTACTTAAGGGATCAGGTGTATAAGTTTACTGAAAGAAACTGGAATTTATATTAATCGATCATCGTCTGCAATACATCAGTACGCAACACAATAATATTAGATAACTTCTTGCGAATAATACGAGATAATTTAACAAATCTAATTGTAAAATATAATAAATATTACAAAAACCATTTTCCTCCAACTTAAGCAACTATCCATAAATAAAATATATTTAGTTTAAGAAAAAGAGCGATACAAATACAAATCGATGTTTTATAGATTATGCAAAAAGCCTTTGATAAAGTAAACCAGAAAGAACTCTTTGAACTGTTAGGTAAGCGTGGGACAAAGCTGCTTCTTTGCAGCAGATTTATTTAACCTTTACAAGAATTGGCAACCACAATCTTAACAACATGCAACATGCTTCCAATTACATATATATATATATACATATTTTTATGTTTAACGTTCTTTTTTTTTATAGATACAAGTATTTAAGTAAATGCTCTGTTTATAATAAACAGTATTAAATAACATTTACCGGCCTGAATGTCCGAGAAATTTTCATAGAAAATATTCGTCCTTTGACAGGATTCGAACCTGCATCCTATACGGAACCGTCATTTACGCTGACGTGCCTAACCTTTCGGCCACAAAGGAGCGTTCGGTAGGCAATGTCTTTAATAAATAAATTGTTGGACTTTGTCCATTTCTTAATATATGATTGTTTACATTTGATACGCCAGAGCAGTGATGAATGTACGAGATTCATGGAAGATTGAAGTTTATAAGCAGTAAATTCGACCTTGCCTACCGAACGCTCCTTTGTGGCCGATTGGTAAGGCACGTCAGCGTAAATGACGGTTCCGTATAGGATGCAGGTTCGAATCCTGTTAAAGGACGAATATTTTCTATGAAAATTTCTCGGACATTCAGGCCGGTAAATGTTATTTAATACTGTTTATTATGAACAGAGCATTTACTTAAATACGTGTATCTATAAAAAAAAAAAAAGTTAAACATAAAATTGTCTTTAATAAATAAATTGTCGGACTTTGTCCATTTCTTAATATATATATATATAATCAGGCAGTGATTGAAACCTGAGGGATCAGTTTTCGATTAGCACCTGACAGTTACTTTGTGCATGAAACTCAGATTTTTGCTACCGGTGAGGAAATATATATATATATATATATACCAGACGTATCAGAAAAGCTCACGGCCCAGACCACTTCGCAAAGCCTATCCAAATTGCCATAGATCAGGTTGTTCTCTCTTGTGTATGTGTGCGTGTGGATTGTTTTTTGGAGAACGTTACTCCTCTACACACGCACATACACACAGGCATATATACGTGCGAGCCCGCACCCACACTCAAACACATACACACCCACACACAAACACCCTCCCACACATACAGACATATATATATAGTGTAACCCGGATATAAGAGAGTTGTCGGGAGCGGAGAAGTCTCTTATATCCGGGTTTGGTCTATTTTATATACATTAACACAGGCTCTAATTTGGGACCAGAGAAAATTTCTCTTATATCCGGGTTTCTCTTATACCCGGGTCTCTTATATCCGGGTTACACTGATGAGAAGAGGGAGAGTTGACAGATGTGTGTGTGTAACCAATGTTTGTGAAATAAATACGTTTATATATACTATGAAGAACACATCTCGTTTTCTTATTGCTTTCTCTCTTTTTCTTTCCAGCTTCACTTTCGCTTTATCTCTGTCTCTCTCTCTGTTTATTTTCTCCCGTTATCCTTTATTTTCTATTTTATCTTCCCTCCATACGTTTTCCCTTTCTTTTCCACGCCACTTTATTCCCTCTTTCTCTATTCAAGTTACTTTTCTTCTGTTTACCTTTATCTCTCAATTCTCTCACTTTAGCCTCGTCATCGCTGTCTGTCCCATTTCCTTTGTTTTCACTTCTTGTCATTCTTTTTATATTTTTCATTATCTCTCTTTTCTTCAATCCTAGTTTTATTCTTTCTTTATTCATCATGCTTCTCACTTTCATTTTGACTCCCGCTAACTTCCTTTTTCTCTTTTTCTCTTTCTTTATCTCTCTACATAATCTTTCTTCTCTTGCGTTTTCTTTCTTCTTGTTCTCTTTCTTCCCTCATTTCCTCTTCCTCCTTTCACTTTAGTCTTTCTTCCTTCTATCTCTTTTATCTTCTCATCTTTCATTCTCTCCTCTTCATCGCTCTGTTTTTCTACTATTTTTCTTTTATTCCAGTCTCTCAATATTTCTCCATTCTTTCTCCTTTCCTTCTCTTTTTATTCTTCATTTAATATCTCTCACTTTGCTAGTCTTTCTTCCTCATTATAGCTCTTTATCTCTCGTTATCTCACACCTTCCTTCTCTCTATTTTTGTTTCATTCTTTCTATTTCTCTTCATTATCTATATAGCTATCTATTCTTTTCCTCCCTCCTTTCTTACGATTTACTTACTATCGAAAAGGCTACTGGCCTGTTGAGGAAAAATTACAGACTAAGACAAGTTTATGGATGAGAACAGATGCTGCAATGTTTTTAAGAGCGTAGCTATGCCAATTCGTTGCACTGCCATCAAACCGCTGTAGATCAGGGGAGACCAATGCTCATAAACTGCCAAGACATTTTACTATAACAACTTACTGTTATATGATGTTTGTGTTGCGGCAGCCCCGATTGTATCTGCAGCTGCCACAACTTGCGAACAATGTTTTCTGTCTAATGGCACACGTCAGATGACGGATTTGCGACCCACCCAAACGCTACTATAATCAGTCAGCCAGCCCTCACCTTTCCGGCAATATATTCTTCAGGACAGAAGAGTGAGAACTCGGTGAAAGAAGTGTGCCGAAGAAAAACGACAGTAAAATTATATAAAGGAAAAGGGAAAAATAGCCGTGGAATGTGATAATATATATGTGATATTCTATATGTGATATTATATATGAAATAAAATAAAAATGTAATATTATATATAGGAATGTGATATTATATAAGTGATAATATATATGTGATATTATACATGTCATATAATATATGGGAACAAATAAAGAATGTGATATTATATATGTGATATTATACATGTGATATCATATATGGAATGTAATATTATATATTTGATATTATATCTGATATATTATATATGGGAAATTATATAAGGGATAAAATAAAGAATGTGATATTATATATGGAAATGTGATATTATATCTGTGATATTTTACATGGGATATTATGTATAGTATATTATATATGGAATATTATAGATGAGATAAAATAAAGAATGTGATATTATATATGGGAATGCGATAGTATATATGTGATATTACAGATAGGATATTATGTATGGCATATTATATATGGAATATTATACATAAGATAATATATGCCTGACATTATATATGGGACAAAAGAAAGATTGTGATATATATAGGAATGTAATATTATATATGTGATATAATACATGCCATATTATATATGGGACCAAAACAGAATGTGATATTATATATGGGAATGTGATACTATATATTTGATATTATAGATGGGATATTTTAAATGTCATACTATATATGGGATATTATATATGGGACAAGATAGAGTATGTGATATTATATATGGGAATAGGATATTATATATGTGATATTATATATGGAATATTATGTATGAGATAAAAGAATGTGATATATATGAGATATTATATATGTGATATTACATATGTGATATTATATATGGGATATATATGTGACATTATATTTGGGACAAAATAAAGAATGTGATATTTATGTGAATGAGATATTATATATGTGATATTACACATGTGATATTATATATGTGATATTGTATATGGGACAAAATAAAGGCTGTGCTATATATATAGGAATGTGATATTATATAATATTATTTTTGAGAAGAATTTGCTATTTCTTATGTGATATTATTTATGGGATAAAATAAAGAATATGACATTATATATGGGATAAAATAAAGAATGTGACATTATATATAGGAATTTGTTATTACATCTGTGATATTATATATGTGATATTATATATGGGATTTTATATATGAGATGAAATAAAGAATCTGTTATTATATATGGGGATGTGTTATTATACATATATATATATACATAATATATCTGTGACATTATATCTGGAATATGATATACGCTAAAGAATGTGATCTTATATATCTGAATGTGATTTTATATATTTGATATAATATATGGGATATTATACATGGAATAAAATAAAGAATGTTATATTATATATGGGAATGTGCTAAAGATATGTTCTTTATTTAATTTTAATTTTTTGTCGCTAACCTTTTTCATTTTGTAAGTTTTTTATATTCTTTTAATTTTTTTTTATTGCGACTTTTCATGTTTATGTTTTTTTTTCTTTCCAAGAATCGTCAGATTTACGTATTTTACAATAATGCAGTTCAGATAATATATTTAGCTTGATATAGGCGTTGGCAATCAATGAATGAATTCTGTGCTTCAAATAAGGCCGATTATATTCCTTTCCCATTGAGAAAGGCATGAAACTATTTCTCCCATTTCTCAAATCAGTATATCACGTCACTGATATACCATAATGACTGATGGAGAGCCGTTGAGTAAATACGTAGGAGAATTTCTTTAAATAAATTATAGTAATAAATTTAGCACTAAAATCACCTTCCATAGTCATAATTAACAGGGGCTAATAATAATAATAATAATAATAATAATAATAAGAAGAAGAAGAAGAAGAAGAAGAAGAAGAAGAAGAAGAGATCTTGGCAGAATGTCAGTAGTAACTGTACATCCGACATAAGGCGTCAGATGAAGCAGCCCAAATGTAGTAACAGCAACAAAGAGCGGTATAAAGGATTTGACTATTAGTCAAAAGAACTGTCTCTTCGAATGATAATGACACATCTCAAAATTATAGAAGGCTACCACCAACGTATTTCATTTTCAAGAGTTTCCTGAAAGACAATAAATCTTTTAGTGTTTTTCTTGTTCTACTCAATTAATTCAATTCTAACGTTAAAGTTCTGGCCTCGAAAAAAAAGCAATATAAATGCGAACAAGGCTTGGTTTCGACAAATGAATTCTGCTGGTCTTTGGCCTTTCGCCAGATTGCCATTAAATAACTGAGTTCTTGCATGACAATAAAAGAAAGATAAAGTAGAATGAAGAGTATAGAGAAGTTTGTATACATTGATATTTTGTAGGTTTTTCTATATGAATCGTTCTGTTGCAGGAGACATCGATTCTCCTACAGACACACTTTATGCCGATAGTCCGAGGTTTGGTACACTAAACACGCACATCCTTTTTCCTAAAATGCTGCACTTGTCTATGAGTAATTCACAAGGAGTCACATGGTACTGGACATATTCACAATACTTAAGAAAAGGGATTTTCTATAATGAACAACTAATGCAAAAGGCCATAAGTTCAATGTATTATAGTCTTCCAACAATATCTGTAATAATCCTTTGTGGATTGGCCCGTGTATTTTTATATTAGTGCCTTGCGTATAATTTTTTTACCCCGCCTATTTCGCATTCTTTTGTGTACACAGTATTCCTTATAAACGCATTATAATTAATTATATGCGTGTGTCATACACTGTTTTGTGCACAAATTTATCGTATTATCTTGTGTATATATTTATTACATCCTTTTATATATTTTTTCAGTTTTAACTTTAGTTATTAATAAACTTTTTTGGAATATATGATTTTCTTCGACGTGATTAATGAAGCGAAACGTTTTATATTATGAAAGGATTTATTATTATGTACAGCATAAGAATAATATAAATTTGATAATATAAAGTCATAGTATTTAACACATTTCTAGGGCTGGGGTGGAGAGGATATGGATTTATACCTTTCCCAAAGCCATTTACGCTTAAGTGAATGTAACGAACTCGACTGAAATTCGAACCCGGCTCACCGATTTCTGAGTTCCTATCCATTACACCAGCCGCACATCCTAAGCAACAGGAGACGAAGTAGTTAAGTTGGTTTTTTTTATGCTACGTTTAAATTCATGTGTTTTGTCACTCGGGATGTTAATTAATAATCGAGAAGTCATGTTTTATTTAAATAATTATTATTCAACCATTTTGATGTTGCCGCTTTGTTTATTCAACGCCATTGGTGCTTCTGTTTTGGCACAAAGTCTAAGGGGGGTATGAATTTATATTACCGTCTTTGGCATTTCCGCCATTAGAAGACACACACACACACACACACGTATATATATATATATATGTATATATATATATATATATATATATATATATATATATATATATATATATATATATATATATATATATATTTATAATTTATATATATTAGCATTTATATATATTAGCATAAGACAAATTACAATATCTTATAAGAACATAAGACAAGCACCAAAATATAATATTGAACTTGATGCAAAGAAAGACTCAAAATTATGGAAGCCGTTGTAATACAAGACAAAACGGACAACATTAAATAGGATACCTTGAAGTATGAATAGATTCTATATTGAAGAGTGCATTTTTTTTAAATATGCACGTATAAAACCATTTTGAGTGTTGTAAACAAAGTCACTTATAAGTGAATTGAAATTGATTCTAGCGATCTTAGAAACGTTATATTATTATGCTAATCACGCATTTCCAATAACAGGCAAAACTATCTGCCTTGAAAACGACTGCAGTAAAATTCAAAACTACTTGAATGTATGCATTAAATATAGATGAAAATAAATGGATGGATACAATAAAATAACTTTGGAAGATTAGTTCTCACATAAAACAACTTATTCGGAAGTTAAAAATTATAATTCTATCATAAAACAACTTAATTGAAAGTTTGAAAACTAAATGAAAAGTTGGATAGACAGACCTTGTCGCTATGGTGTAATAAAACTTGTATGAAAAAAATTATTGTTGACTAAATACACCCATATATATATATATATATATATATATATATATATATATATATATATATATATATATATATATATATATATATATATATATATCACGAGAATGTACCCTCCAAACAACTAAGTATAACAAATTCTAGTTCAATTCTGTCCAGGAGCTTTCTCAGAATATTTTATTCCCACCTGTAGCATGCTCATTTTTAGACCCGTGTTAAAAATAGTAGAATCACGATTTAGGAAATGCGATAGAATGTAAAAGAAAAAGAATCACTGGTTAAAAATTAATAATAACCGACAATGGTAATGGTAATGGTAACATTAGCCCTTTTCATAATGTGGAAACATTCTATATTCATTGACCGAGCCGCCAGTGTTGGTTCAAATTTATAAAATCTTCTTACTGAAGGAAATTTTCTGGAAAATAGATTTCTAAAGTTGACTTATCGCTCCTTCCATTATCAGTGATGGTGTTGCGGGAAACTAGTATGTATTGGTAAATATTACTAAGCATTATATTGCGGGAATCAAAATTTTGAATAGTAAATATCTATAAACTCCTGGAACATTTGTCC